CCCCCCCCCCCCCCCCCTGTGAACACGCCAAAGCCGCCTTTGACGTCGTGAAAAAAATCATTGAAAAGGGCTTCGGCGCTTCGCTGCGCTAGCTCCCCGCCCATTCCGGCATCTTGTGCGATCGTTGCCGCCACAACTTGCCGCGCAAAAACTTCCCGCAGATAGATACCACCACCCACAGCGTGCTCGTGTTTTTTCTTGCGTTCTGGTAGGGTGGTGGATGATCTCACAGCCTAGGCTCGTTCCGCTTGGCTACCTCTTGGTACTTGCCCCCCATCAGGCGGAGCAACTGAACGGAGGGAGGGCCGGAGGGAGGCACGACCGAGAGACAGAACAAGAAAATGTATGGAATCATTCTGCTGCTGTGTGTGTCTTGAAATAAGTAGTAATTAGCATCGACCGCCCTAACCGGCTGACCAATGAGAATACGTCGGTGCCGGCGGGGTAACCCCAGGGGGGACCAAAATTCGAACGAACAACGCGCAGCGTAATGCGCTGAACACGAACCCCAAAATGAACGGGTGCGTTTTTTTAGTTTTATTTGTAAAACAAGTTGGTTCTGAGCAAGACACGTGATGACGCCAAAACGAAACGAGCGTGTGCATGCTCTATTGGATTGGTAAAAAGTTGGTTCTGGGCAAGACACGCGCACGCGATCACTGCCGCAGAAACCAAGACTAGGACGGTGACAGTGATTGAACGCCATACGCAGGAAACGTGCGACGAACCGAGCGCGACCTCGTTCATCTCCTCTCGTCAGGACTCAGTAAAAGGACATCTGACGCTAGATATGACTAGGTGGGGTTCCTGTCTTTCGGTAACTACCCTATCTACAGCCATACTCATGTTTCTTCCACGTCCTTGCGGCACAACACACACACACCACAAAAACGAACGCCTAGCTCGGGTGATGGTGGTGGGTGGTGCTGAGCGCGTACTCATATTTTGCATGCCGTAGCGGCTGGACCATTGATCATGACCATGGGGGGGGGGGGGGGGGGGGACCCCTAATCCGGGCTGGCCTAATCCGGAAACCCTTTACCCCCCCTCCCTACAAAACCCGGACGGAACCCCCCCGGTTTTCCCCCGACCCGGGGGGGAAGGGGGGGGGGACAGGAAAAAAAATACCTCCACCCCCCCTTTTTAACCCCAAACCCAAAAAAAAAAAAAAAAAAACTTTTCCCCCTTGTCCCAAACGGGGGGAAAGGCTTTTCCCAATGCTCCGGGAATAACCCCCGGGCCCCCCCCGCCCCCAAACCCTTTTCCCCCCAAAAAAACCGCCAAAAAACCGAAACCAAAAAAAAAAAACAATACCAAAAAAAAACCGCCACCCCCAAAAAACCAAGAAAAAAAAACCCCACCCAACAAAACCCCCCCTCCCAAAAAAAAAAAAAAAAAAACCCTCCCAACCCGTGGTTCCCCAAAACCCCCAAACCCCAAAAAAATGGGGCAAAAACCCCAAAAGCCTGAGCCAAAA